GCGTGGAGGACACGCGATACGACTGAAGAGGAGCAGGCGGGGTACTGGAGAAGAGTGCAGAGACGCATGGATGACGTCGGACCGATTCCACGATGCATCTTCGATGACGATGAATATGAGACCCGCGTGCTTGGCGCCAATAACGCCCTGGTACGTATCGACGCCTCAAATGCTGTACATTATAAGACGGCTGGAGGCATGGGAATGTGGCCCTCGAATGACGCTTCTCACAAACTTGTGAAAGTTGTCAGGTTAATAACACAAAGCGGTTTTGAGGCGTTTGTTAACCTGCCGGCCTGTTTTTCTCTTGGAATCAAATTAATTGCAAGGTTGTTTGAGGTGGATGGGGAGAATGACGTTATTTATCGACTATTGACGAACCGTTGAGTGTTGTTACCGGACATTTTGGGGCGGTGCACTCTGCACGCATTCCTGCGTAGAGTCTTTGTGGAAAATGTAATGCCGGGCCTCAAGGAGTTGCCTCCACCAGGACGTCGTCAGCAAAAGAGATGTGTGCAGCAATCGAACCCCGAAAAGCATCCAAGCAGACCCGTTGCATTAATAGAGCTGGGGCACACTCCTCCTATGTTGGATGTACAATACAAGGTGCTATACCTACCGGAGAGCAGACATTTTCCGCTTGTGGACGCCTTTTTCTTCGTTGGTGCACCGCGGAGGACGATGGTTGCGGTGCAGGTGACGACGAGGGCTGAGCATGGCACCAAAGCCAGCACGGTGAGGCGGTTCAATGATCTTCTACGGAGTTATTTTAATGGCTGGGAAACTTTTGCGGAAGGCTTGTCGTGGGAGATTATTTACGTGCAACATGAGGACAGTGCGGCAATAAACGCGTGGCAGAAATGTGTTCTCGTCGCGCACGCAAATGTAACGGGCAGCAATGAGCGTGAGGACCCTCGGGCCATTGCGGCATTTTGGAATCAGCAGGTGCGTCAGTGCGAGGTAGCGGCCTCAGCTGAGAATTTCAGAAGTGAACGACGAACCCAACGTGGGCGGCAACCAGAGGGAGAAGGAAAAGGAGGAGGGGAACAAGCAGCTTGAGGTTACTGGTGAAGTATTTTAGGGAGTATGATATATTGCCGAGTGTGTTTGTGTGTGGGTAGGAGGCGTACTTAGGGACTCGCTCTGCCGTGCGCCAAATGATTATTATGGCCAGCGCTACCACAGCAGCACCTTCTTTTTTGTTGTAGTTGTGTTGTGGTTGCGAGTAAAATTGTGTGGGGAATGATGGCGCCTTGTGGGTGTACGCCGGCAGTATTCGATTGGTGATGTCTCCTCGCTGTTCCCAGTTTGTTGCTGCAGAGAGTTTGGGCGAGAGGGTAAGTTTTGCATGCTGAGTGGGCTCACAGGCGGGAAAGCAAATGCGGCGGCCACCACAGCCCAGAGGTCAGGGGCAAACCGAATTATTGTGAGTGCTTTTGTGCCTTGGCGTGATGTTTTTCCCTTTTGTTTTTTGGGTGCCATTGTTTTTGGTTCGGCTGCGCTCCAATTGGTGGTGCTGCATGCACCGCTGAGAGCCTCGAGCAAACACCGTTGGCGTCTCTCTTTTTGTTGGGTTGCCGTCCTGGGCGCATGCGCCTGTTCCGTCTTGTTCGGGCTGCACGCACTGACCGGACAGTCTGAGACTACGGCTGCGCTGGCGTCGCCCTCGCTCTTGGGCCGAACGAAGCAGCAGGAAACGGTGATGCATGCGTTGG